TATTAAACATTTTGTCAAATTTAATTTGAAATTTGTTTAAATTTAATTTGTTGATTTAATATTCATTTTTTTTTAAGTTACGCTTTTATTTACTGTAGATGTGAAAAGAGATTCAAGAGAATAGAAATTTTAAAAATACAAAAGATTTATAGCGTTTCGAAAGTATCAACGGAATTAAAAAAATAAAAACGACCGGTAGTAACAATAGCAATCGGGAATAAGAATTATTACCATTCGTTTTTACTTTTTAATTCTGAGAATTTCGAATGCATTCTAATGCATTTTAATTTTCAAATATTTTCGTAAATACAAATCATACGATGATACTTTTTTTTACAAAAAGCATTCATGGATGTTACTGAGTCTGTATATACATTTACTTTGTCGCAATTAATGTATTTTCTCGTTTTAACCAGACACACACACATACACACATACAGACAACTGCTATTTATATATGTATATGTTATTATTTTATCATTATCATTAATATATGTATTATATATTTTAAATAATAGATTTTGAATATAACAGTTATCTTTTTAAAAAGAGTTTTAGTCGTGTATGTTGACTTGAAAAAGAAGTATTTCTTTGAGGAACGGAGAAAAATCCTGCGCAGAGATATATATTTGGTATAATTGGATAGAGCCACTCTAAAGAATTTTCCGTCTAAGAATGGTATTTACTCTTTTAAGTGTGTCATTCATTATTGCGAAGTTGCGGTTGAATTAATTTCTAATGTATTTGATAAATTATTGTCCTTTGTGTATTCATACATACATACATATATATATGTTTGTTATGGAAACATAACAGATCTGTGTTTTGTATGGACATATAAAATATATATATATATATATATATATATATATATATATATATATATATATATATACAGAGAGAGAGAGAGAGAGGCAGATTTGTATATTGACGTATATTTTGAAGACAGCACAAGTATTCATGTTAATGATATATATATATCGTGTTTGTATGTATTACTTTTGTATGTACATTATATATATATATATATATATATATAATAGAGAGAGAGAGAAAGAGACAGACAGAGACAGAGACAGAGAAAAGGGAGAAAAGGAGATTTGTATATTGACGTATATTTTAAAGGCAACACAACTATTTATGTTAATTATATATGTGTGTTTGTGTCTATGTTCTTTTATATTATATATATATATATATATATATATATATATATATATATATAGAGAGAGAGAGCAGATTTTGACAGAGACAGAGAGACAGAGATAAGAGAGAGAGATTGAGGGAGGTTTGTATATTGACATATATTTTGAAGGCAAACAAGTATTCATGTTAATTATATTGTTCATTTGTTCTTTTTGTATATATATATATATATATATATATATATATATATATATATATATATATGTGTGTGTGTGTGTGTGTGTGTGTGTGTGTGTGTATATATATACAGAGAGGGGGAGAGATTGATTGAGAGAGAGGAAAAGAGATTCAAGAGAGAGATTGAGGGATATTTATATATTGACATATATTTTGAAGACAACACAAATATTCATGGTAATTATATTTTTTCAAATATATTTTTTTTTCTTAGCGAATTAATTTCCGTATTTTGTTGTTGAAACTGTAAAGAATGTGTCTATAGTTCGTGTTCATTCTTGTTATGATTTTCAGCATTCGACTGACTTTGTTCCTTATCAAAAATGAAAGAACGAAATGATATTCAAAATACTGTGATAATTTGAATTTTAGGAATGACATTGAATTCTATATATGTATTTGTTTCTTTGTTGTTTTTTCCCATGAGCATGATTAAGGTTCGAAACTCAATGTTGTCACGTGAATCAGACCTACTGAGGATTCTAAAACAACCTTCAATATAAACGTGATGCCCAAGTTTTAAAATACATTTATACAAATTCAAAATCTTTCTTGAATATTTTAGATTCAATTTCAAGGTAACAGAATAAATTTAATATTTCCAGTAAGCAAAAAAAAAAAAAAATTAATGTAGTTCAAACTGAATTTAAATTGATTTTTTGAGAATCGTCAAAATTGCTGAAAAATAAACCATATTCGCGAATCTGTTAGAACAGCATAATTCTCTTTATTAAAAGAATCTTTGAAAAACAAAATACACTTTCTTGAGACATTATTTGAGGAAGATTAGCTGATTTAAATTTTAATTTGAAGCAAATATTGCTTTTCGTTTAAAATATTACAAAAAGCATATCTTAATACGGAGGTGGATGTTTTTTTATGAGGTGTTAAGAAATTTATCGATAGACTTATTTTGAAATATTTTTCTACGAGTGACATAACTGTAAAACTTACTTGAGGAATGTAACGTGAGGCACTCTTTATGTAATTTTTAATTACAAAGTAAACTTGAAAACCTTAAATAATCTTTATGTAATCTTAATTGAATTTTAGTTTAGTTTTATAGACTCATTCACGATTACTCTTCTTTAGGAAATAATACCAATAAATGTATAATTCAATATAGTTCGCGGTCATATTATAGGATATTGTCGTGTATATGATATCATTATTTACAAAAATTGACACATTTATATGCACACATAGTGAGGAACACACACAAAGAGAAATACAAAATTATTTTTAAAATAATGGGGGACGCTTAATTGTAGTAAGTTTTGCCATTGATGATTAGGTAAATATCGATTTACTTAATAACAATATCATCTAATCAGTACAAAATAATATGGAATTTTAATCATTCTAATTAAAATAAAAATGGAAACACTTCTTATAGAATTTCAATATGCACAAAGAATTTCTCAAAACACTGGTTTCTATAATATATGTTATTCATAAAAGCAATTAAAAGATTTCCTACGCATTCCAAAAACTGGACAGAGTATTGTGAGACAGGAGTATTTCTTTGGTAACAAAGAAAAGAATACTGAGCTGTTAAGTGATATATGTCCTTCTTTACGGTGGCGTATGTCGGACGATTTCCACAAAGATGAGGAAGAGACAAGAGGCAACGGAGATGTGGTTCTACAGAAGGATACTAGGGATATCATGGACCGAGCGTGTGAGCAACAAGGAGATCTAAGTGAAGATTCAAACAAGGAGAAGGCATTTACTTAACATGGTATCCTTAGCATCCTTCTGTAGAACAATACCTCCGTTGACTTCTTCTTCATCTTTGAGGAGACCGTCCAACATTCTCGGCCGTAAAAGAGGACCGATGCCACGTAGCAGTTCAGTATTCTTTTCTTTGTTGCCAACGTAATCCTCTTGTCTCTAATACTCTGCTTAGCTTTTGGATGGCGCATCTGGCCATCCGAATACATCTTTGGATCTCGCACTTATCGTCCTCTGCCAGAAAACTTCCTAGATATTTAAATTTCCGCACCTGTTTGTTTTTAGTGTCCCCGACCTGTAAATCGCATTTCGGGTTCATGTTTTTCCTGATGACTATATATTCTATGGAATCGTCTTATCACCGGACTTATTCAAGCTATACAGCGAGGCAATTCCAAGAGGCCTGGAAATCCTACCAGTATTTATTATTGACGGCCACAATCTTAACAACATAAAATACGCAGATGACACAGTAATGATAGCAGACAAGGACAGGAAATTACAAAACCTCCAACGAAGGAGAGCGATAAAAGGGGGCAGCAGTACATTCAGGGATACGGGTATGATGCAACACCCTTAAAATAAACTTCAAAATTAGGACTTCAAATGTCACATGAGATCCGAATACATACGGTATATCAACTCAGCCAGCATCTTCTTAATGCAAGGGATTATTATACATAGGGAATTACGGCATTTGACTGTTTTAAAATATATTTAAAACTATAAATATATTTTAAAACAATCAAATGCTGTAATTCTCTATGTATAATACGCCTTCATCCATACGCACACCTAAGATTGTTCTGAAAGTGTGGGAAAATGCTTCTACTCGTGCATAATACGTACCCCTTGTTTAGTAATCAAACCCTATAAATTGTACCTCTCCAATTTCATTACGGCCAGCGTTTTCTACTCATATTTTTAAAAAAATGATTTAACAATATAATAATATTCTAATTTAGTTTTATGATAAATATGATTTTATTTTACGGAAAATTTTTTAAAATGTCTTGTTGCTGTGCATAATACGCACCCCTTGTTTGTTAGTCAAACCCTATAAATTACATCTTTCCAGTTTCATTACTGCCAACTTTTCCCACTTATATTTAAAATAATGATTTAAAGATATATTATTCTAATTTATTTTTATAATTCTTATTTTATTTTACGGCAATTTTTAAATGATTTTTTCTATTTTGCATAATACGCACCCCTTGTTTGGTAATCAAACCCTATAAATTGTACCTCTCAAATTTCATTACGGCTTGTGTTTCTTACACTTATTTTAAAATCGTTTTAAACATAGAATATTATAATTCTAATTTAGTTTTGATAATTCTTATTTTATTTTACGGAAATTTTCAAAATATTTTTTGTAGCTCTGCATGATACATGCCCCTGATTTTGTTTAATATTAAAAAAAAATGCGTATTATACATGGGGAATCACGGTAGGTACATTTAACGTCAGAAATTATTTCGTTTACAGGTGTCCTGGCAAATTTCGCCAAACGATTGCACAGAAAGAGAAAAAAAGATTAATATCGGAAGTCTGGCCGTGAAAAAAATCAAAAAAAAAAACGAAATCATATTTTTGTGATAAAGTACATGATACTGAATAAAATCACGACAAAATCCATCATAGATTGTTGAACGAGTAAAACAGATTTATTTCACAGAATGACATATTTGCGCCGGTCGCTGCTCATTGATGCATATTAAGTAAGTTTTAAGTCACAGATGTAAAATTTTGTATTAAAAACTGTTGAAGTGAATACTTTAAGTTAAGAATGAGCACTCAGAGACGGAGAATAACTCATGCCATTGCCTGGTAATGGCCGAAGGTTGTATATAAAATAGAAATTATTAATCTATATACAT